GTAATCAGTGTTTACGAGTTTGTTGGCTAGTTGGTAGATAAGCAGGTAATTGAGTAAAGATGCAAATGATGAAGGAATAGATGAAGTAAGGATGGACGAATGTACCATTTTATTCGAGTTGAGTATGTCGATAGTGACACTACTGAAAACTGTATTCCGTAATATGGAGTATATAAGTGCATGTCATCGACTCTTGGTTCGCAGTTGAATCCACGATTAAGGACAGTCACAAGATCTCGAACTCGAATAAACAAAACAACTGGTAGTGTCAACCTACTACTACTACTACTACTACTACTACTACTACTACTACTACTACTACTACTACTACTACTACTACTACTACTACTACTACTACTACTACTACTACTACTACTACTACTACTACTACTACTACTACTACTACTACTACTACTACTACTACTACTACTACTACTACTACTACTACTACTACTACTACTACTACTACTACTACTACTACTACTACTACTACTACTACTACTACTACTACTACTACTACTACTACTACTACTACTACTACTACTACTACTACTACTACTACTACTACTACTACTACTACTACTACTACTACTACTACTACTACTACTACTACTACTACTACTACTACTACTACTACTACTACTACTACTACTACTACTACTACTACTACTACTACTACTACTACTACTACTACTACTACTACTACTACTACTACTACTACTACTACTACTACTACTACTACTACTACTACTACTACTACTACTACTACTACTACTACTACTACTACTACTACTACTACTACTACTACTACTACTACTACTACTACTACTACTACTACTACTACTACTACTACTACTACTACTACTACTACTACTACTACTACTACTACTACTACTACTACTACTACTACTACTACTACTACTACTACTACTACTACTACTACTACTACTACTACTACTACTACTACTACTACTACTACTACTACTACTACTACTACTACTACTACTACTACTACTACTACTACTACTACTACTACTACTACTACTACTACTACTACTACTACTACTACTACTACTACTACTGCAGACTTCATATTACTGGTACAAATTTATGTAACAAACGTTTAGTCAATTACAGGTTGAAATAGTCAAGGAAATATTTCTTTAGTTATTATCAACATCTTTTCTCACAACTGGTCTATGAAAGTCTGAAAATCACCGTTTACGTACAGAATTCTGACAAACACTCTTCGTCCTTGATTGGCTCGAAGGTATCAGAATTTGTTTACATATTAAATCACTTCCTTGTTGTTCATTATTTTAAATAGTGCTAGAATAAACTGTGTCATGAACGGATTGTGAATAGTTTCATAAGGTCTATATTCACAATACAAAATTTGGTGTCCTTTTATCCTTTTCAATATATTTCAATGTATTTGACAGTACTGATATGCATGAATAATCTATTCATGTGCTCAACTTACGTTCTCATAATAGAAATATATCTTCCCATTCGAGTGTATCAGGTGCATTGCATTCAATGTATCATCTGCAAAAAAGAAAACTATCGATATTTAAAATTTCAAGTATTAGTGTCGAGCATGTCATTGCTAGATGTGACATTGTATGTGCCTACACACTCAGGGGGATCAGATTTTAGGAGATATTTACTGTTATCTCAAATGTTTTCTGTCGTTGAATTCGTAATGAAAATAATCTCGTGAATGTCATCCAAATGAAATAAGCATGTATCCTTCATCATGAATGTCAGATGCTTAGTTTGTTTAGTTTTCATATTCAAACAATAAATCATCTAGTTCTTATTAGATCTGATAGTTAGAGTGGTATTCAAATCGGTGGAATATTTCTTATATTACAACTGATAAAATTGACTCTAGGAGCAAATGAAATGAGCTGCGGTTTGTTTGTTTGTTTATAATTCCAGTTTTAGAATTTATTTAGTTATGTAACACATTGATATATCAGTCGATCAAATGACTTTGTCCACATTATGTGTTAAAGATGAGAAGTGAATATACTTAATACATTTTATTTTAACGATCTCTTAATTTGAAAGAATAAAAGCTGAGAGTGATCGCATAATGATTGAATATCCAAATGAATGTGATGTATACAGAAATGATTTTCCGATGGACACATATGTACAGACTTGTCATCATGTTCCTTTGAAACCTGTCAATGAAGATGAATCTCTGTATTCGTTTATCTACAAATGAAATGAGAATATGACCTAATGTATCCAAACGTATATTAATTATTCTTTAAGTTTCAATAAAATATGTATGGACAATCTATGGATTCTCTGTGTATTTAGCCTTTGATTTTGTAGAATGGTTACACTGCAATACTTTCGTCAGTTTTTTAAAGACGAATTCAATTACTCAAACGGAATAGATAACAGTTGAGTAATATCATTCAATGATGATGATGATGTAAATTGTTAATAGTTCACATGGGATCAAACAATCATGGATATGGATACATACTTTTATTATCAATGTTTCTATCACAAGACCTTCTGACAGCAAAATATTCCTCTGAAATAATGAAAGTAAAATAAATTTATTTTCATGTATCTGTATAATGAATATTGACCTCTTTTCAATAAACAAAATGTGTTTGAACACAAATTATGATGTTCCTTTTCAAGATTGAAGTGAACCAATTCAACTAAATGACAGTCTCAATGATCTACATCATTATTTCTCGGATATGATGAACGTTTAAATCCAATCAACTAATAGAAATATTATACTTCTGAAATGTTGGGCTTGTAAGCATTTGACTAACTAAACAACCGTTAATATTTATTCGACAATCAACATACAAAATCATTTTGTGAAATTCTGTTATTCCAATTGAACAGTATTCTCTTAACTGAACTCATTATTGCCCGGAAATGTTACCACGATGACATTAATTTCGGTAAGTGAATAAAATGAATACTCTTCATCTTGATATTCTAGGTGTTCTAGTTCAAATCAATCATGATGTACTAGTACATTATTCGTGATTGTTAGCTGATTTGATGTTTGAGATGGTACGTGGGTTCAAACTTCATGATCAACCGATTATGATAAACAAGAATGTGTTTAATACCCAATAGTTAAACGACAGTGAATAAGAGGGACTGAATTTATAAGAACCAAGTAAGTGACAGAAAGATTTGGAGGACATCAAATATAAATTATTGATAGTTCATGTGCTTCAATAATTCAAACTGATTTCTCACACAACATCGCTTATTGTTGCATCTGTGATCAACTAAATTCGTTCAATCTATCAATAAGTGTCGTATTGATGAAATATCAGTTTTATGGTAGTTTGAACAGATTGAAGAGTAGATAATTTCCGCCTAACCAATTACATTGTATGGTTCATTATTGCCACTCAATCAATTTGTGTCTATTTTGAAGTGAATCGCTGTTTTGTTTAACATTTTCCCTTCACAGTAATGAATACATGTTGTGAACACAGTTTAGGGCATGAGATCACACAAATAAAATAATCACTGTGTACTGACCAGCTCTCATGAAATAATCAAGTTAAACATCGAATTATTTATGCAAAATAAAAATGAGAAATGTAAAACATAAAACAAACAAAACTTCACTGAATAATAGTAGAACTAACCCTCATTCAAAATCTCATTTTTACACACAAAATCGCGGAAGATATAATTTACAATTTCGCTATAATCCCCTTGTCCTGCCACATAAATTCCACCTGCGTTTATCAAATGAAAATATACAATTTGATTAATAATCTATAGTGAATGAATGAAACACTTTGAAATTCACTGGAGACTGGAATGAATTGCATGAACTGTAATTAGTTTACTACAACGGTACAACGTGAACAAGGAAATACATTAGTAGATGTATTGAATGTAAAACAAAAAATGCCTAAAACTGATCTATTGATGTAATGAAAGCCACATTGATTCATGGAATTGAAATGTGAGCAAACAAAACTTTAATTCAAGGAAAATAATTCTCTTACCGTGAGTATTTATATATACTGAGTTGAGATCAGCACCGTAAAATTTAAAGGGGAATTTCAGATTTATTTGCTAGAAATATGCAAACATATGGTTTAGCATCTCCGTTGGAAAATGTAGTTAACTCACCTTCGCATTATCCAATTCCTCAAACTTTTCACTAACAATTGGAGAGGGCTGATTAGAACGAATGAACTGGGAATAGTGATAATAATGAGACTGAATATTTTTAATGCAACTTGACTGATCACTTACATATTTATATGTATCACTTTGGGAAATTACTTTTCCTTGACTAAGTAAATGAGCGTTTTCACAAATATCATGACAGTCGAAAAATTCCGACGTAAAGACAATGATTGAATAAATCGTTACCAACTGACCGAAAGAAAACTTAGATCTGAAATGGTTCAAATGAATAGAACAATGTTATCTCATTAGATCAAATTGGAATGGATATAATACAATCATTTGACTTAAGTATACAGTCAATACTCACATCATTTTCTTGTTTTAGACGTTGATAGAACGTGTTAAGTCTTATATAGAATTTTTTGGAAGTGTTTGTACGTTTCTTTCAGATTGGATGATTCAAATTGACCATTAAGATCATGAAATTTTATAAAATCATTTCAATATTATTAACCAATCGTCATAGGAGATGAACTCATGGTTATGCAATAGTCTTACACTTATTGAGGTAATATAGTCTGATATTGATCTATAGTTAATTGAAATTCCTGACCCCCCCACTATTGATGAAAACTATTTTGGATAGGATTAACACTATTTTAAACTAAGTAATTAGTGCTCATATTTTCATGAACAAACATTGTGTGTTACGTGTAATCAACTATGAATTGGTTGTCAACGATGCATAGCTTTGATGTGATTGGTTAATATCAAAGTAGCACACATTGATTTCATTAGATGACCAAAATTCACATTTTTATGTTTAAATTTTATTTCAATAGAATGAATTATTTCACTGGTTGAAATAATGGATCAATTGAAGCTAGATCACTATTAATGACCTAGAAGCACCTGACGACCGTTAGTCAGCAGTGCGCATCCACGATCCCGCCCCCCACGAGATCCGTACCCAGGACCCATCAGTATCTCGCACGAGCGCCTTACCATTAGATCACTGAGTAGGCTAGCATCTAACGGCGTTCACGTCTAACTTCAACCAATCCACGAAGTTGCGCCACCGTCATCATTGTCTTCAGTGAGTTGATATCTGATAACAGACCTGGTTGAACTCCAATGGTAGCGGCTTCTCACTAGAACTCCATAAGTGTCACTTGAAGTCAGTCACTGGTGAGCAAATGAGTATTATCAGAAAGGGTTTCATGCACGCGACACTGATAGGTCATGGTTTCGAACCTCACGGGTGGGAGAGATCGTGGATTTGCACTGCTGAGGAGCCCCTTACTAAGATGAATTGGCCATCTAGTGCTCCTAGGTTTTCCATGATGGTCAAAATTCAATTGACTCATGGTTTCGATCAGTAGAGTGAATAACAGTCTATACTTTCGTAAATCACTAATAAATTCATCAGAAAAAGCCAACAATATTTATGTTTTGATTACATATGTAAAAGAGTGATTCCCGATAATATGAAGGTGAATTGTTCACTTCAAAAAGATGTTGAAAATAAATAAATATTTCTTTAATTATTTCAACCTGTAATTGACAAACGTTTGTTACATAAATTTGTACCGGTAATATGAAAACTGCAGTAGTAGTAGTAGTAATAGAAGTAGTAGTAGTAGTAGTAGTAGTAGTAGTAGTAGTAGTAGTAGTAGTAGTAGTAGTAGTAGTAGTAGTAGTAGTAGTAGTAGTAGTAGTAGTAGTAGTAGTAGTAGTAGTAGTAGTAGTAGTAGTAGTAGTAGTAGTAGTAGTAGTAGTAGTAGTAGTAGTAGTAGTAGTAGTAGTAGTAGTAGTAGTAGTAGTAGTAGTAGTAGTAGTAGTAGTAGTAGTAGTAGTAGTAGTAGTAGTAGTAGTAGTAGTAGTAGTAGTAGTAGTAGTAGTAGTAGTAGTAGTAGTAGTAGTAGTAGTAGTAGTAGTAGTAGTAGTAGTAGTAGTAGTAGTAGTAGTAGTAGTAGTAGTAGTAGTAGTAGTAGTAGTAGTAGTAGTAGTAGTAGTAGTAGTAGTAGTAGTAGTAGTAGTAGTAGTAGTAGTAGTAGTAGTAGTAGTAGTAGTAGTAGTAGTAGTAGTAGTAGTAGTAGTAGTAGTAGTAGTAGTAGTAGTAGTAGTAGTAGTAGTAGTAGTAGTAGTAGTAGTAGTAGTAGTAGTAGTAGTAGTAGTAGTAGTAGTAGTAGTAGTAGTAGTAGTAGTAGTAGTAGTAGTAGTAGTAGTAGTAGTAGTAGTAGTAGTAGTAGTAGTAGTAGTAGTAGTAGTAGTAGTAGTAGTAGTAGTAGTAGTAGTAGTAGTAGTAGTAGTAGTAGTAGTAGTAGTAGTAGTAGTAGTAGTAGTAGTAGTAGTAGTAGTAGTAGTAGTAGTAGTAGTAGTAGTAGTAGTAGTAGTAGTAGTAGTAGTAGTAGTAGTAGTAGTAGTAGTAGTAGTAGTAGTAGTAGTAGTAGTAGTAGTAGTAGTAGTAGTAGTAGTAGTAGTAGTAGTAGTAGTAGTAGTAGTAGTAGTAGTAGTAGTAGTAGTAGTAGTAGTAGTAGTAGTAGTAGTAGTAGTAGTAGTAGTAGTAGTAGTAGTAGTAGTAGTAGTAGTAGTAGTAGTAGTAGTAGTAGTAGTAGTAGTAGTAGTAGTAGTAGTAGTAGTAGTAGTAGTAGTAGTAGTAGTAGTAGTAGTAGTAGTAGTAGTAGTAGTAGTAGTAGTAGTAGTAGTAGTAGTAGTAGTAGTAGTAGTAGTAGTAGTAGTAGTAGTAGTAGTAGTAGTAGTAGTAGTAGTAGTAGTAGTAGTAGTAGTAGTAGTAGTAGTAGTAGTAGTAGTAGTAGTAGTAGTAGTAGTAGTAGTAGTAGTAGTAGTAGTAGTAGTAGTAGTAGTAGTAGTAGTAGTAGTAGTAGTAGTAGTAGTAGTAGTAGTAGTAGTAGTAGTAGTAGTAGTAGTAGTAGTAGTAGTAGTAGTAGTAGTAGTAGTAGTAGTAGTAGTAGTAGTAGTAGTAGTAGTAGTAGTAGTACTAGTAGTAGTAGTAGTAGTAGTAGTAGTAGTAGTAGTAGTAGTAGTAGTAGTAGTAGTAGTAGTAGTAGTAGTAGTAGTAGTAGTAGTAGTAGTAGTAGTAGTAGTAGTAGTAGTAGTAGTAGTAGTAGTAGTAGTAGTAGGTTGACACTACCAGTTGTTTTGTTTATTCGAGTTCGAGATCTTGTGACTGTCCTTAATCGTGGATTCAACTGCGAACCAAGAGTCGATGACATGCACTTATATACTCCATATTACGGAATACAGTTTTCAGTAGTGTCACTATCGACATACTCAACTCGAATAAAATGGTACATTCGTCCATCCTTACTTCATCTATTCCTTCATCATTTGCATCTTTACTCAATTACCTGCTTATCTACCAACTAGCCAACAAACTCGTAAACACTGATTACATGGTCTTTCAATCATAATTGAATTTACATCACGGAGAATAACGTGACCTAATTAGAAATCTTTTTTGAATCACCAGTCATCATCTACACTTTTACTATTCTAGCGGTTTATTGCTTGGTGTATGTATCAAAGCTAGATTTGTTACATACTCAATCGTCATCAAGAATTTCAACGAAATAGCAACACCCCTATATAAGTTGTTATGCAACACGAAGTTTACGTGAACTGAGACTGCCGAACAAACGTTCAACCCAATCAAAAACATACTAAATCTCGGCATGGATTCAGAAAGCTCGTCTGGCTTTTGCCAACTCATCTCTGGCGAAGGAGAGATATCTGTCTATCAATGAAGGGACAGATATGCTGTGCAGCAGTTCGTTCTGTTCTACATTACGGCTGCGAAACATGGCCATTAAGGGTAGAAGATATTCGTAAGTTACTAATATTTGACCACAGATGCCTTAGAAATATTGCTCTCATCTGCTGCGATCGTCGGGTAAGTAATAGTGAGGTTAGACGCAGAGCATTAGGGAATGATGGTGAATCAGTTGGTGACGTCATGAATCTTCATCGAATGATATCGTTGGGTCACGTGTTACGAATGCATGAACACTGATTACCACGACGTGCAATGATGACTAGTGTTGGTGATGGTTGGAAGAAAGTTAAGGCTGGCCAAACGAAAACGTGGCATCACTCCTTGAAATCGCTTAATTCTGGTGTGAGCCATGTTGGTAGATAAAGTCTACTTGGTTGGTGTCCGTGTGACTATCATAACCCATGTTTGGAAATTGTGGGTGAAATGACTCAGAATCGACCAATCACAATGGTATGGGTGTATGCACACTCTGTCTACCTTAAAACTGTGAGATTGAAATCGCTTCATATCTTTCTTTGTACCAATTAATTCTTTCTTTCTGTACTATAACCTTACCTAAAATCTTTCTTTTATATATTGATACCTTTGAGTTAACTACTTTTATGAATCCTGTGTTCGTGTTGTTTTGCTTATGAGGTATTGCAACTTGAACCGATACATATATGTGCCTGATCCTACTTTGTAGGTGACTAACTGACTGACTTATGCATTTTATTCGCTAGTTCAACATACTTTCACACTCACGTAGTCAGTTGGGGGGTTGTAGCGCGTATCAAATCGTCTATCAGTATCAGATTTCGGACACCGCCCCTTACAATATATATTGACTAGACTGGAAACACGTTGCTTTCAAGAGGTAGGTACATAACAGTCTATCACCTCATAGTAACCAGTATCACGTTCACTAGTCAACAGTACATACACTTATATAAATGATCTGAAGTTGAAGTTTTGTTTGTCCGATTTAAGACGTTTGAAGATAATCAACTAATAGTCCTAGATCTAAGTTTCATCCTTTCCAAAACTTATTATCTGACATTTCGACAGGAATGATATTCATATAAGTTTCTATCCGACATCACTGAGTGTTACAGATGTAGTATTCATTACACGACAGACCTTATGTAGAACTAAGATATTCACACTAAGTGATAGAATTATATCATGTCAAGAAAAAATATATATAAGAAGGAGTCTTTGTAGATATTATAGTAATTTCAATAGTTGAATTCATGAATCAATTGAAGCTAAACCTCCGTGGAAAACACGAAAGCATTGGACAGACATTTCGTCCTATTATGAGACTCTTTAACACTGTTATTCACAATCCAGAGATTGATATGTTCTGAGTTCAAATCTTGCAAATTTCAACGATACTAACCAGTCAAACTATTAGGTTCTACTCTATTATCGACTCTAACGAATCATATACATATTATTTTATAAACATATAACAATATATCAGAAGGGGATTTGTGCAGATGTTTAAAAAATTCACTGATTGAAATCATGAGTCATTTGAAATCAGATCATCATGGTCTAGTTGGTTAAGCGCCGTGCACAAGACTGATAGGTCACGGGTTCGAAACTCACGGGGTGAGTAATCGTGGATGCGCACTGCAACTGAGGTGTCCCATGCTAGGACGTAACGGCCGTCCAGTGTTTCCAGGTTATCCATGATGATCTAGCTTCAATTGACTCATGATTTCAATCATTGATATAACAATTTATTAACGACGACGATGACGGGAGAGAGAGGTAGGAAAAACAAGAGAGTAAAACAAACAGTTAATTTATTTTTTCTTTCAATTTTTTCGTTGATTTGAATTCGATCGACTTTTTAAACTTCTTGATGTTTTAATTCTTTTGCTATTTTTTTACATTTTCATTTTGATTTAGAATTGGTTCTGTATTATCACTATGTTCAATCATTGTTTGATTACATGATGTTTCTTTATATTGTTTTATTATATTATTTCTATCATTCATACACATTTCGTAATATTTATAATGTACTTCGTCAGTTGCAAACTATTGATTAAAAAAAAGAAAAGAAAAAAATGAGGAGAAAAGAATGAAAATAACACAATTTTAAGTACATATCATTGAACAATAAATATCCAAACTAAATGACAGAATGAGACTCTAATTTATGGACGAGTCAATCAGAAGCGTTTGAAAGATTTCATGGTGATGACGCTATCCTCAGTACCTGATGCCTACGGTTACCTTCACAAACTTGGATATGTGCTTAATGTCGTTATTTGTAAGCGTTATTTTGTGGACCCTACAACTGGAGTACATACTGACAATATTGAAGTTATGTGGTCGAAGCTAAAATGGTTCTGACGACCCTATCGTGGCTCGAGAGATCGACTATTATGGAGCCATAATGGATGAGTCCCTCTTTCGTATGTACTATTATTTCAGTACCTCTGAACCTTTTTCAAACCATGATTAGACTTCGAACCACCTTAAGTCTCTGGGTTTTTTTGTAATTGATACATTAGTGAAGAACATTGAAGATTCGTTCAAAGGTCGTCCATAGAGTCTCGTCAATGAGAGATATAATCAATTAGAAACAAATCAACATCAAGATCTAAGCTGTGAGTTATATGTGGAGAAATGTAAACATTTCATTACTGATGACAACGTTCAGAGAAGTGACGGTCTGAGCACTGGGGTAGTATCACAGTCCACACTAAAATCATGTGATTGTGTGGCGTATATGTATTCCGTGCCCCTTTGCATCAATATTTATGTGTTCAAATAAATAAAATTAGTCAGTCAGTAACAACGCACAACTTCGTACGTACGTACATCAGTTCGAGTTGCCACACCATATTATCACAGAGATGCAGTTAACTGTAGGATTGCTCCAAAAAAGCTAAAAATTATAATACAAATGTTTAAATAGGTTAATATAAAGACTAGGAATGAACTTCAAATTTATTTAATTCAGTGCTTGCTTGTATCTACCATTTATATAAGATGTTTTGTGGTTTTGTGGTTGGTCATGCTTTAATTGTTCGTTCGCGTGGGGTGAGATTGTGGATGCGCACTGGTAAGGAGTCCCGGACAAGGATGAAACAACCGTCCAGTGCTTCCAGGTTTTCCATGGTGGTCTAGCTTCACAGAATGAAATCATGAAGTAAATACGTAATTTGCAAAATGTTCATCGATTGTCTCAAAATGACTCAGACTTCATTGTCCTTGCATTTTCATACAAATTGCATCATGTTTCCATTCTTTACTGTTCGATTCTTTTGTCTCTCTGCTGCCAGACCATCTGTTCACGATTAACATCATCTACTACTTACATCAATTTAAGTAGCACACACCACATTATAAGTAAATATTTCAGAATGCTACACGACAACTTGCATTACAACAGAAGTGAAAACATAGTTGGGGATACAAATACTTACTCAATATAAATAAGTAGTATAAAACAATATATACTAAAGACTGGAAGAAAAGTGTGTAAAAACAATGTGAAACAAACTAAACACTGACCCCAATTAAGTCGATCATGACACATGAGGAAGTAACTAAAGTACATTCCACAATTAATTTAAAATTTTCTAATCTAACCAAACATATGGATCATTTATGTATGTTGATGATATCATTTCCATCTCTTGGATTATTGAATCATCACTATTGAATACCATGAATTTCAATTTCTTCAAAGTACAATTATAGATCTTTATAAACAAAACCCATGAAAATCAGAACCTAAAATGCCCTGGTATGGTTGAGAGTGAAGAGATTAGGCATTCCTTCTCGAAATGCCTTCACATGGCCATGTGCATACAACCAATGTCAGGGAAGTCCAAATCGCTAACTTCTTGCATGAGGATTGTTGTTTATGAAATTGAGAGGACAAAAAACGAATATCCAACACTTCAACCAGGTTGTAGGACACGGAGGATCCATCTAGCGAAGATGTAAAACACTAATTTCTAGCCACTTGTGTACATGAGTTCCAGAATCTCAAGGAAACAAACAGCATATGGACCAATTTTTGATCATCGGCTACCATTGGACTGCATCTCCTGACTTCGCTCCACTACCTTGTGCATTAGACCTATAGGTCAAAGGCTAGTGGTGTGGCCACCTAAGAAAACCACCTGCTTCGGTTTTTGGGTACCCAATTAGTATCAAAGCCCTCACACAAATCGAATGATGAAGTATGAAGCATATCTATTCGATGCTTCATTGTATCAATGTGTTTATATAATAATATAGGAATAACAAGTTAGATGATATGTTCTGTTCGGTCTATATTCTATACATGGAAATTGTTATATCCTAGTGAAGACTGAATTACGAGTAGCGTCTGAAACCTAATAATCGATTAATAATATCTATATATTCTTAGGGTATACATATTCAGTAAATAGACTGTAGATATCTATATTCCTCTTATTATAAGCTTCATTTTAACCTATAGAATATTAGTATATGCTATATTGATCTTAGTTTACGTTCAGTTTATTAATTACCGTCTCCCACGTTCACAGACACATTTTGGAGTTACTGTGTATGAGTGTTATTTTCTATTTTATGCTGCGTTGCAGTCTGTTTGGCTGGTATATAAACCCAGTATGTCTGAAATACATGATTAGCATAATGGATGCTGTTGTTGAACTCAAGTGGATGGCCTTGGTGAGCAACGAAACATTAGGAGGCTAGGCTGATTAGACCGCCCAGATGTCATCAATTTAGTACAGTATAAGTGCGAATAAGTCGTATTTTGATTGGCGAATAAATTACCTGATAACAAGCGGCGCAGAAAGTCACAACAGAAATAAATCATTATCACTCATCCTCCTATTCTTCTGTTAGTGCACTAAATCGTATAAGTCGAGAAATAGATGTCTAGAATAGAAGGACTGTGTAGTGACTAGTATATGGAAAAGTGAACCTCGCGTAGAATGGCATTTCATTAGAAATGTTAGTCAAAAAACAAGCAGTCTCTTTATTCATTTCAAGTTAGATCAATCGTTCGAATTGACAGTCTGTGAAGAGAACTTATCGATTTATGTTGATTAAGATCATGAACCAATTGATGTTAGACGACCATTGAAAACCTGGAAGCACTGGACAGCCGTCCAGTGTTGCTGTTGATGGTCTAACATCAATCAGTTGATGATCTCAATCGAAAACTTAATGATCTTCGCAACCCAGTATGGGGTTGAGATGTGATCATTGGCGATATTCACCAAACGATTGATCTTTTGCCAATCTATCAAGTTGTAATTTGTTGGTTTAATAGTTTTGAATAATAGTTGCAACTTCATATCTGTTCACTTTTCTTTTGATGATTATCAACCATACTTGTTTTCCGTTTTTCAATTTACATAAGGAATAGGATGAGTCAATTGCCTCCACGATGTTCTTATATTCCAAGCGAAAAATCTCCACATTCAATATCTAGTCTTTATGAAAATGAAATAGATGAAGTTCGAAAGAAGTTAGATCATCTTAAATCATTATTGATACAAGTTAAAAATCAACTCAATTCTTCACCCAATGATGAAGATGATGATGATAATATGATTGATGAAAGATTCTTTCCAAATACTTCTACTGAAATGAGTCTTTTACAGACTACTAAGAAGAATACTGTAGAATATGCAGAAAAGATTGATGATTCATGTCGAAATTTGCCTAATTATACTACATTTTCTGTGAAAAAATCACACGAATATGCAGTGAGAAATTGGAAACTATCAAATTTTAATCATATTTAACTACTTATATCGATAAAAGTAGTTAGAAACAATTGTGTGAATTAATTTCTATGACATGAATATCAAATTTGTTTTTTTCTTTTAAAGTAAGTGGTTTCTTAAAATATTGTGGAGATGGACCTGTCAAGCTTATTTTGTAAATAGTTTTCAATGTTATTTGTATTTACTTTGTCAGCCTTCCACTGTATGTATATTTAACATTAAATGACTGTAACTGTTGTTTTAGTAAATGACCTTGAACACACTTTCCGTTGTACTACTACATTGCGTGCCATACCGCTGCTAGCTAACAAATACAACGCTTCTCGCACACTCATCGTTCTACTTCCATTTGTGATTGAGATATCCGAAGTCTAAATCAAATTCTATCTTCATTTATAGACTGTAACCGAAATATATCACATTCAACGTTGGATTATATCATTAGAGAGTTCAACTTGTTCAGAATCAACAAACATTTATAATTGTGGATTTACTTTACTGGACCTAACCCTAACACGCGACGTCTGATCAATTTAAGTAACGTCCCCAATTTTTACTGTATTTGTGACAATTAATTATATATATTAATATTACTATTGATTTTTAATAACTTTGTTTATATTTTTTGTGTTCATATCTGTTTGGTCCACCACAATTATTTGGTGAGCCTTGAATTCATTATAGACGTTTACTGTTTATATATATATTCATTTTTTTATTACTTGGCACGCTAGTCCATTTATATTTGTTTTTGCCATCATGAATTCTCCTGGTAAACTCATTGATATAGATAGTCCACTGATCAACTCCTTGAACTCTTCACAGTCAGAAGATAATGCCTTAACCTCGATCAACGCAATTTCAGACTTAAGACTACCAACGTTCGGCGTTAATAATCCAAGAATCTGGTTTGCACAAATCGAAGCTTTGTTCATGGCTAGAGGTATAAAATCTCAGGCAACAAAGTATGCTTATGTAGTTGGGGCACTCCCTATCGAGATTGCTGCGGAAGTCGGAGATTTAATCGATCACGTGCCAGAAGCTGAACCTTATGATAAATTAAAGACAGCCGTAATCCAACGCACCTCGGTTTCAGATGAGAGAAGACTGCAGCAATTGCTAACTTCTTGCGAATTGGGGGACAAGAGACCCTCGCAATTACTCCGACATATGAAACACTTAGCAGGGCCATATAAGGTAGACGATGCATTGCTTAAACAGATGTGGTTTCAACGTTTACCACAGAATGTCACCCAAATTCTCGGCATATCAGGAACTTCCGTCAATCTCGACGATCTAGCTGATATGGCTGACAAAATGATGGAGATTTATCCCGACAGCCAACGTTTGAATGTACTACAGACCTCTAGTGGAGACACGATTAGCCCATCTAACAGCATCCAACAACAAATAACACAGTTAACACAACAGCTAGCAGCACTACAAGCGACTATTTCTACCATCCATTCTCGACCTGCCAGATCTAGGTCCAGAAGGAGATCAGTATCCAGACCTCGTCTTAGGTCACCCAAACGGACATCAGATACTTGCTGGTATCACGCGACTTTCGGGGAGAAGGCACGCCGTTGCACTAAACCATGCAACTTTAAAATAAGCAACTCAAAGGACCAGGGAAACGAGACGGCCAGACAGTGATGGCGGCGCCTGTTTCTGGCCACTACCCGAGCCGTCTATTTCACGTCAGGGATCGGATTTCGGGCTCAGATTTTTTGGTCGATACAGGAGCCGAAATCAGCATAGTCCCATTACACCTTTCTCAACGACGGCACTCGCAAAGTACTAAATTGTCTCTAGTCGCTGCTAATAACACAGTCATTAAAACTTATGGTGAACAATCACTCATCTTAGATTTTGGTCTCCGTAGACGTTTCACATGGGTTTTCATCGTAGCTGAAATTAAACAACCCATTCTCGGGGCCGACTTTCTTGGTGCTTACAGCCTATTGGTAGACATGGGGAAAAAGAAACTTATTGACAAGAACACAAGTTTGCAGGTCAGTGGCACTCCTGCCTCGAATTACGAAATTCATGGCGTTCGAATGTTAAGACCTGAAAACAAAATTTTCACTGATATCCTGTCGAAGTACGAAAGCATAACCAGAACTGATTACCAAAACGAATGCTCCACACATCATGTTCAACACAATATCTCTACTACAGGACCACCCATTCGTGCTAGGGCGCGAAGACTCCCACCAAACAAGTTGCAGTTCGCTAAGAGAGAATTCGAACACATGATGCAGCTTGGGATAATCAGACAATCTAACAGTCCTTGGGCCTCGCCGTTGCATATGGTTCCCAAGAAAGATCAAGACTGGCGCCCATGTGGAGATTATCGCCGACTAAATAACCAGACTATCCCAGACAGGTATCCAATCCCTCATTTACATGATTTTTCTTTAAATTTACATGGAAAACAGATTTTTTCAAAGTTAGATCTAGTCCGAGCATACCATCAAATACCGATGGCGCCTGAAGATATCGAAAAAACAGCTGTAATTACACCTTTTGGCTTGTTTGAATTTTTGAGGATGCCTTTCGGACTAAAAAACGCCGCTCAAACCTTTCAGAGATATATGGATGAAGTAACTAGAGGTTTGGAATTTGTATTTGTCTATATCGACGACGTTTTAATCGCTAGTTCTTCCACTGAAGAACATGTCCAGCATTTACACACGCTTTTTGAACGTTTCAAAAGTTATGGTGTTGTAATCAACCCTTCGAAGTGCATATTTGGAGCCTCATCTCTGGAATCCCTAGGACACCATATTGATTCCCAAGGAATTAAACCGCTTGAAGAAAAAGTCAAAGCCATCTCCAGCTACCCAGAACCAACCTCAGTAAAATCACTACGTCGTTTTCTGTGAACATGCAATTTTTATCGTCGATTTCTACCAAATTGTGCCGATGTACTACAGCCATTGACAGATTTACTGAAAAATGATAAATCAGGTACCAAGAAAGAAAAAAACCAAATATTTAAGTTACCTTCTGATGCTAAAGTAGCATTCGAAAAAGCTAAATCCATGATTGCTAATGCTATCATGCTTCAACATCTAAATACTGACCCCACAACACTGTTGATCCTATGCACCGATGCTTCACAAAAAGCCGTCGGGGCGGTATTACAACAGCGAGTAAACAACTCGATTACCCCAATCGCCTTTTTCTCCAAGAGATTATCACCAACACAAGAACGTTATAGCACTTTTGGACGCGAACTCTTGGCTATGTATTTAGCGGTAAAACATTTCAGTTTTCTGTTACAGGGTCGCGATTTCATCATTATGACGGATCATAAACCCCTTTGCCATTCTTTTGGCACATCGTATGACAAACACTCGCCACGAGAAGCAAGACAATTGGATTACATCTCCCAATTCACTACAGACATCCGGTTTATCAACGGTCACTCAAACATTGTCGCTGATGCACTGTCTCGGAGAGATATCAATATGATGGTACGCAATCATGACATCAGCCTTGAAACTTTGGCTAAACTTCAAGTAGACGATGCAGAGTTGAAAGTCTGCAAAGAAAAGTCTAGCTTGAACCTCAAACCTGTACCAATTCCGCTTTCAGATGCATTCATCATGTGTGACACCTCAACAGGCAGCAATCGTCCGTTTGTCCCACATGCCTGCAGACGAAAAATATTTCAGCACTTACACGGTCTTTCACATCCAGGCATCAGAGCAACAACAAGGCTCATCACTGAACGTTTTGTGTAGACGTTTCACATGGGTTTTCATCGTAGCTGAAATTAAACAACCCATTCTCGGGGCCGACTTTCTTGGTGCTTACAGCCTATTGGTAGACATGGGGAAAAAGAAACTTATTGACAAGAACACAAGTTTGCAGGTCAGTGGCACTCCTGCCTCGAATTACGAAATTCATGGCGTTCGAATGTTAAGACCTGAAAACAAAATTTTCACTGATATCCTGTCGAAGTACGAAAGCATAACCAGAACTGATTACCAAAACGAATGCTCCACACATCATGTTCAACACAATATCTCTACTACAGGACCACCCATTCGTGCTAGGGCGCGAAGACTCCCACCAAACAAGTTGCAGTTCGCTAAGAGAGAATTCGAACACATGATGCAGCTTGGGATAATCAGACAATCTAACAGTCCTTGGGCCTCGCCGTTGCATATGGTTCCCAAGAAAGATCAAGACTGGCGCCCATGTGGAGATTATCGCCGACTAAATAACCAGACTATCCCAGACAGGTATCCAATCCCTCATTTACATGATTTTTCTTTAAATTTACATGGAAAACAGATTTTTTCAAAGTTAGATCTAGTCCGAGCATACCATCAAATACCGATGGCGCCTGAAGATATCGAAAAAACAGCTGTAATTACACCTTTTGGCTTGTTTGAATTTTTGAGGATGCCTTTCGGACTAAAAAACGCCGCTCAAACCTTTCAGAGATATATGGATGAAGTAACTAGAGGTTTGGAATTTGTATTTGTCTATATCGACGACGTTTTAATCGCTAGTTCTTCCACTGAAGAACATGTCCAGCATTTACACACGCTTTTTGAACGTTTCAAAAGTTATGGTGTTGTAATCAACCCTTCGAAGTGCATATTTGGAGCCTCATCTCTGGAATCCCTAGGACACCATATTGATTCCCAAGGAATTAAACCGCTTGAAGAAAAAGTCAAAGCCATCTCCAGCTACCCAGAACCAACCTCAGTAAAATCACTACGTCGTTTTCTGTGAACATGCAATTTTTATCGTCGATTTCTACCAAATTGTGCCGATGTACTACAGCCATTGACAGATTTACTGAAAAATGATAAATCAGGTACCAAGAAAGAAAAAAACCAAATATTTAAGTTACCTTCTGATGCTAAAGTAGCATTCGAAAAAGCTAAATCCATGATTGCTAATGCTATCATGCTTCAACATCTAAATACTGACCCCACAACACTGTTGATCCTATGCACCGATGCTTCACAAAAAGCCGTCGGGGCGGTATTACAACAGCGAGTAAACAACTCGATTACCCCAATCGCCTTTTTCTCCAAGAGATTATCACCAACACAAGAACGTTATAGCACTTTTGGACGCGAACTCTTGGCTATGTATTTAGCGGTAAAACATTTCAGTTTTCTGTTACAGGGTCGCGATTTCATCATTATGACGGATCATAAACCCCTTTGCCATTCTTTTGGCACATCGTATGACAAACACTCGCCACGAGAAGCAAGACAATTGGATTACATCTCCCAATTCACTACAGACATCCGGTTTATCAACGGTCACTCAAACATTGTCGCTGATGCACTGTCTCGGAGAGATATCAATATGATGGTACGCAATCATGACATCAGCCTTGAAACTTTGGCTAAACTTCAAGTAGACGATGCAGAGTTGAAAGTCTGCAAAGAAAAGTCTAGCTTGAACCTCAAACCTGTACCAATTCCGCTTTCAGATGCATTCATCATGTGTGACACCTCAACAGGCAGCAATCGTCCGTTTGTCCCACATGCCTGCAGACGAAAAATATTTCAGCACTTACACGGTCTTTCACATCCAGGCATCAGAGCAACAACAAGGCTCATCACTGAACGTTTTGTGTAGACGTTTCACATGGGTTTTCATCGTAGCTGAAATTAAACAACCCATTCTCGGGGCCGACTTTCTTGGTGCTTACAGCCTATTGGTAGACATGGGGAAAAAGAAACTTATTGACAAGAACACAAGTTTGCAGGTCAGTGGCACTCCTGCCTCGAATTACGAAATTCATGGCGTTCGAATGTTAAGACCTGAAAACAAAATTTTCACTGATATCCTGTCGAAGTACGAAAGCATAACCAGAACTGATTACCAAAACGAATGCTCCACACATCATGTTCAACACAATATCTCTACTACAGGACCACCCATTCGTGCTAGGGCGCGAAGACTCCCACCAAACAAGTTGCAGTTCGCTAAGAGAGAATTCGAACACATGATGCAGCTTGGGATAATCAGACAATCTAACAGTCCTTGGGCCTCGCCGTTGCATATGGTTCCCAAGAAAGATCAAGACTGGCGCCCATGTGGAGATTATCGCCGACTAAATAACCAGACTATCCCAGACAGGTATCCAATCCCTCATTTACATGATTTTTCTTTAAATTTACATGGAAAACAGATTTTTTCAAAGTTAGATCTAGTCCGAGCATACCATCAAATACCGATGGCGCCTGAAGATATCGAAAAAACAGCTGTAATTACACCTTTTGGCTTGTTTGAATTTTTGAGGATGCCTTTCGGACTAAAAAACGCCGCTCAAACCTTTCAGAGATATATGGATGAAGTAACTAGAGGTTTGGAATTTGTATTTGTCTATATCGACGACGTTTTAATCGCTAGTTCTTCCACTGAAGAACATGTCCAGCATTTACACACGCTTTTTGAACGTTTCAAAAGTTATGGTGTTGTAATCAACCCTTCGAAGTGCATATTTGGAGCCTCATCTCTGGAATCCCTAGGACACCATATTGATTCCCAAGGAATTAAACCGCTTGAAGAAAAAGTCAAAGCCATCTCCAGCTACCCAGAACCAACCTCAGTAAAATCACTACGTCGTTTTCTGTGAACATGCAATTTTTATCGTCGATTTCTACCAAATTGTGCCGATGTACTACAGCCATTGACAGATTTACTGAAAAATGATAAATCAGGTACCAAGAAAGAAAAAAACCAAATATTTAAGTTACCTTCTGATGCTAAAGTAGCATTCGAAAAAGCTAAATCCATGATTGCTAATGCTATCATGCTTCAACATCTAAATACTGACCCCACAACACTGTTGATCCTATGCACCGATGCTTCACAAAAAGCCGTCGGGGCGGTATTACAACAGCGAGTAAACAACTCGATTACCCCAAT